TACCTTCATAATAGTGAAATATGATATGTAATATATAATACGTGAAAGATGTATTCTTTCATAGTTGAAAGCTGAAAAGTTTTTAGTCAAACTTTCTTTAGGGAAAAAAAAGGTAATTAAGGCTGACATGGTGGTGCATGCCTATAGTCTCAGCATTTAGGAAGCAGAGGCAGGCAAATCTGTCAGATCCAGGCCAGCCTGGTCTACATAGCAAGTTCCAGGCCAGCTGGGGCTACAGGGAGACCCTGTCTCAAAGAGACCAAAAAATAAAAATAAAAAATAAATATGAACAAACAAAAAGTAACCAAGGTTTCCTTCTGCAATGAAGTTTTTTCCCCAAGAGTATTTCCTGTCATGTGGATCTCAGTTCCCTACACCATCCCTGTCTGGTGGTGTTGCCCCACCCCCTTGCCCCATGGGGCCTTGCTGTGTTGTCCAGGCATTGTCTAAAATTTGGGGGCTTGAACAGTTCTTCTGTGTTAGCCTCCTAAGTAGCTAGAATCACAGGAATACACTGGCTTGTTTACTTTTAAATCAATTTGTAGTTATGATCATCTTTACATTTTTTTCCAAATGACAAAAATTATAGTAAAGGATTAAGTTAAAAATAGCATTTTATCACCAAGATACCTATTTCCAGAGTTGACAGCCAAGCTAGATAGAAGCTGTGCTCTTTAGGGTAATTCTGGATCTTTTTCTTTCTTTGACATTACTGTTGATTAATTTGTTGACATGTTATACTACCGATGTTTTGGACTTTCCTGAAGCAGTAGGGGCTGGTGTCGACCCTGCTATTGGCATCTTTGTGTCTCTCCTGCTCTGCAAGAGAAGATGGCAGGATAGATTTTATACAGCAAGGGGCCTTTTGAGGCACTGGCAGCTGTATTATGACACACACATTCTTTAGCACAACATTCCTTAGCTCTGTAATTTATGTATCTTGTTTTTTGTTGTTTTTTTTTTATTTAAGGGGTTTGAATGTAATCCTTTCAAGAGGCTGTGAAATAGTTGTTAAAGTCCTTTCTAACTTCATAATTGCAAAACCTCTAAGGTCATTGCTGTGGCTTCCTAGTCTAAATCTTCCTCTAGTTAAATCAAGAAAAAAAAATTCTTTATACCTACTAGAATAGGAATTTTGGTTAAATGCCACCTATTTCAATATCAAATTAAGACAAAGCAAAAAGTACATATTTTTGTAGTACTGGGCATTGAATGTAGGGCCCCTCACACATGCTAGGTTATCCAGTCCCCCAGAAACTAATTTTGAAGGGCTGGATATTGAGGCATTGGATTGGGCCCAGCAGATAGTGCTTGCCTAACATGCATGAGCCCATGAGTTCTATCCACAACAGCCCATAAGCTGGATGTATGCTTGAAATCCCAGTATTGGAAGGAAGAGACAGGAAGATAGTAATTCAGGCTTGCCCTTGACTGTATAGAAAGTTTGAGGCTAGCCTGGGCTACAATGAGACCCAGTTACACACACACACAAAAAGGTAATTTTGAAAGAATATTTTGGAAGCATATACAAAGACTATTTTTAAACTTTTGGTAGGGAATAATGGCGAATACAAAATTACTTCCATTTTTTTATCTATACTGAGTGAAATCCCTTATTAAAACTGGAAAAGCTGCTGGGCATGGTGGCACATGCCTTTAATCCCAACACTTGGGAGGCAGAGGCAGGTGGATCTTTGTGAGTTCAAGGCCAGCCTGGTCTACATAGTGAGTTCCAGGACAGTTGGGGCTACAAGGAGACCCTGTCTCAAAAAGACAACAACAACAACAAACTGTAAAAGCTTAGTATGGGCTGGTGAGATGGCTCAGCAGGTTAAGGTATGTGCCTCCAAAACTGCCAACCTGAGTTCAATATCTGGGTCCCACATGGTGAAAGGAGAGAACCCTGCCCTCTGACCCCCACATGTGTGCTGTAGCATTTGCTTGTACACACAATGAATGAATGAATGTTTTAAAAAATAAAAGCTGGGTATGGTGACATGCCTGTGATGTCAGTGCCTAGGAGGCTGAGGCAGGAGGATTGCTGCAAGTTCAGGCCAGCCCAGGTTGCATAGGAAGACTGTCTCAAAAAAAAGCAACAACAACAAAAAAAAACCTAAACCTGTGGCTAGAGAGATGGCTCAGCAGTTAAGAGCTCTTGTTGCACTTGCAGAGGACATGGATTCCTTTCCAGCACCTACATGGTGGCCAACAACTGTCCTAAGACTCCAGTCCAGGACTCCAATGTCCTCTTCTGGTCCCCAGGGGAATTGCATGTATGTAGTGGGCAAAACACTCATACACATAAAATAAAAATAAATACATTTAAAAAAACTAAAGATAAAAAACCAGGATATAGCTCAGTGGTAGAACATTGGCCTAGCATGTGAGGCCCTGGGTTCAGCCTCCAGCACTGCAACAAGAAACCAAAACCTTTTTAGAATCAGAAATTATTACCCTGGAAAGAACTTTTAATAGGAAAATAGGGCCCAGAAGACATAAATGATTTACTGTCTAGCTTAGTAGTTAAGGTAAGACTTAGCTACGTAATATAAACTTTGGAGTTGTCAAAAACCAGGATATGACTCATAATTGAGCCACTTGAAGCTTAAGCCAAATATTAATGAGTTCCTAACAGCTGGAGTAGATTTAGAGTACTGTAGAGAATAAGCTCCTAATAGTATATGCGAAGTACCTGGGGTTTTTGTTTGTTTTGGTTTATTAAGGAAGCTAACTTTAATACCAAGTGGAAGCTGGCATGGTGGTGCATGCCTTTAATCCCACCACTCAGGAGCCAGAAGCAGGTGGATCTCTGTGAGTTTGAGGTCAGCCTGGTCTACATAGTGAGTTCCAGGACAACTGGGTCTACAGGGAGACCCTGTCTCAAAAAAAAAAAAAAAGAATCCAAGTGGAGATGATACCCAGGTAAGGAGATCTATTCTATGTTACTCTGCTGGTTTGGTGTCCCCAATGTTATTTTTTGTTCTGTTTTTGTTGTTGTTGTTGTTGTTGTTGTTGTTGTTGTTGTTGTTGTTTTCTGTTTTGAGACAGGATCTCCCTTTAGCCTCCACTGGCCTAGAACTAGCCTTGTAGACCAGGCTGGCCTCAACCTCACAGAGATTCACTTGCTTCTGCCTCCTGAATGCTGGGATTAAAGATGGGCAAGATTTACTTTTTTTTTTTTTTTTAATAATGTGTATGAGCATATTGCCTGCATGTATGTGAGTGCACCCATGTCGTGCAATGCTGCCAAGGTCAGAAGAGGGCTTTGGATTCCCCTGGGACTGGAGTTAAGGATGGTTCATAGCCGCCATGTGGGTGCTGGGAATCAAAGCCCAGTCAGTGCGCTTAACCACTGAGCCATCTCTCCAGCCCAAGATTTACTTTTTTAATGTGGGTAATAATCTCTTTACGTCCTATCTGCCCCAACCTGAAAAGATAACACAAAAACTCCAAATCTAACACAGGCATGGTTGCTCACTCTTGTAGCCCCAGTACTCTTGAAACCGAGGCAGAAAGCTTTCCATGATTTTCAGGCCAGCCTGGGCCACAGTGTGATATCCTGTATCAAGCAAAACAAACTCACAATCTGTTATTTATTTTTGCCAAAACTAACGATGAATGATGGCACTATACATAGTGTTTGATGACATAACAAAGAGTTCTTACTAATATTTGTTCACAAACAATATGTGAAGCACTTAGCATCGATATTTGATGATTTAAGGGGAAGAATACATGAATAATAACATGAAAAAATGGTGAAAATAACCCAGCTCTTTTCTACCAATTCATGTCTGAAAGTTTGTGTGTATACAGACATAGTGCCTCTGCAAAGGATTTTCTTTGTTCTGAGGCATATAATATATATAATAATAAAGAGAGTCCAAAGTTATATCATTTAAAAATATAGCTTTCATGCCAGGCATGGTGGCAGATGCCTGTAGTTCCAGCACTTGGGAGGCAGAGGCAGGTAGATTTCTGGGTTCAAGGCCAGCCTGTCTACATAGTGAGCTCCAGGCCAGCTGGGGCTATAGAGAGACCCTGTTTCAAAAAAAAAATCTATTTAGGGTCAATAGAATGTCTCAGTGGGTAAAGGTACTGGCTGCCAAAGTGTGACAGGTATGTATGTGTATGTCTTGGTTTGTTTCTTCATTGCTATGACAAAACACTCTGACCACTACCAACTTGGGGAGGAAAGGGTTTATTTAGCTTACAACTCCCAGGTTGCAGTTCATCAGGGAGCCCAAGGTAGGAACTCAGGGCAGGAACCTGAAAGCAGGAGCTGGAGCACTGGTTTGCTCCCCTGGCCCCTGCTCAGCCTGCTCTCTTATCCAACACAGGTCCACCTGCCCAGGGGTGGCACTACCCAGAGTGGGTTGGGCCCTCCCACATCACTCAACAATCTAGAAGATGCCCCATAGACATGGCCACAGGCCAGTCCAATGAAGTCAATTCCCCAATTGAGGCTGCCTCAACCCAGGTGTGTCAAGTTGACACTAAAGCTATCCAGCACTATATATATCTTTTCTCCTCCTCTGCCTCCTCTTCCTCCTCCTCCTTTTCCCTGTTACTAGATATTGAACCCATGACACTAAGCTGTGTTCCCATCCCTCTTTACTTCAGTTTTAGAGCATTACTGTTGTAAGTCTAGAATTCTAGCTATTTAGCTGTGAATCTTTTCTCTGTCTTTTTTGTTTGGTTTTTATTGTTTCGAGTCCCACGCTGGCCTCAAATTTACAGTCCTCCTGCCTCAGCCTCCTGAAAGCTGGGATTATGAGCATGTACCACTACATCTGGATTGTTTTTTCATCTCTTTTATCCTTCATCTCCTTCCTGTAAAATGCAATATAGCAAGGTGTCTCAGCTATAAATTTGAAGATTATGTCAATAGCAAATATTTGTAGAGGTTGGCAAGTGAAAATTATTTGAATATTTGTGCATTTTGGTTGAGATTCGCTTATTTCACCCTAGTTTACAGTTTTGTCTTCTTTTCTCCTAAGATCTTAGTGGTTCTATAGCAACTCAAGATGTCAAATTAAACCTCGGTGGAGATTTTATCAAAGAATCTACAGCTACTACATTTCTGAGACAAAGAGGGTATGGCTGGCTTTTGGAAGTTGAAGATGATGATCCTGAAGATAACAAGCCACTGTTGTATGTAAAAGCAATGTAATTTTTGGTTTTAAGAGTTAATCTATGGGCTGTTTATATTCTTTCATATTATTTAAAGACAGATGAGAAAATCTTAACCTTTTTGCTCAAAAACAATAGTGGTTTTCAGTTTTACTAGTACTTTAGAAAGCTGAAGCACTTGTGAAAGAATGTTTTTTAACTTGTTGAATGTCAAAAATTCAATTTCATTTTTAAATAGAAACCATGCCATGCGTGGTGGCACATGCCTTTAATCCCAGCACTTGGGAGGCAGAGGCAGGTGGATCTCTGGGAGTTCGAGGCCAGTCTGGTCTCCATAGCAAATCCAGGCCAGCTGGGGCTACAGGGAGACTGTGTCTCAAAAAGACCAAAAAAGACCGAAAAAAAAAAAAAAAGAAACCAGACTTTGTAACATATGCCTGCAATCCTAGCACTTCGGAGCTAGAAGTAGGATCAGGAGTTCAAGATCAGCCTGGGCTATATGAGACCCCGTGTCAGAAAACTTCATGCTGCACATTCATGAGGACCAGAGTTCAGATCCTAGCATCCACATAACATCCTGATCATCCCCACTCATGTTTGTTAATCTAGCTACAAGTGGGGGAGAGACAGGAGGATCACTGGGGCTTACAGGTTTCTAACCTAGCCAAGAAAACACAAGCCCCAGGTTTATGGAGAGACTCCACCTCAAAAAGAATGGGTGGAGAGTGATAGAGGAAACACCTAACACCCTCTTCTGGCCTCAGTGAGTTTGCACAGGCACATGTACTTGCACATATTATGTGTGCACTCATACAGATACACACAAATAAATCTTTAAGAAGGAGAACAAGGGGCTGGAGAGGTGGCTCAGGGGTTAAGAACACTGGTTATTCTTGCAGAAGACCTGCGTTTGAATCCCGGAACCCACATGGCAGCTAATGTCCATAACTCCAGTCCCAGGGGATCCAACAGCCTCTTCTGACCTCTGCAGGCATTGCATGACACAGATGCACTTACCTACATGCAGGCAATACACACATACACATAAAATAAAAATAATAAATAATTTTTTTTTAATTAAAAAGAAAAAAGGAGAACAAGCCAGCATGGTGGCACACGTCTTTAATCCCAGCACGCGGAGGTAGTCGTAGGCAGATCTCTGTGAGATCGAGGCCAATCTGGTTTCTATAGCGAGTCCAGGTCAGGTAGGGCTGCAAGGAGACCCTGTCTCAAAAAAAAAAAAAAAGGAGAACAAAATTTTTTAAATAGCAGTCCTGTATCTCTCTCACATCCAGTACATATATACAGATATACTCTAAACTGTTTATCTGGGCCTGTCAGCTATCTTAAATAATCATGCTGTCTAAAAAAGCAAAGCTTTTAGGTATTTAATGTTGAAATTCAAGTTTAAAACTATGGTTTCCAGAATCTCATGTAGATATTCTAAGGCTGTCATTGAAAATAGAACCATAGTAAGACTTCCACATCTTTGTAATACTTGAAATTAATGATTGTCATCTGAAAAAGTAAAGAAACTAACATTTTGGAATGAAGAACTGAATCATTTATAAACCGAATCATTTATAAAATATCAGACTTCTGCAGTAATTATTGGCAGATAACAGCTAAACAGCTTGTTCTGCATGTTAGCATACTATATTTCCTCTGATCTAAGGTGCTGTTGGGTTTTATGTGCTAAAAAAGAAAAGTACCTAATACAGCATAAAAGTGGGATATCAAAGCTGGGTGTGGTGGCACACGCCTTTAATCCCAGCACTTGGGAGGCAGAGGCAGGCAAATCTCTATGAGATCCAGGCCAACCTGGTCTACATAGTGAGTTCCAGGCCACCTGGGGCTATAGGGAGATCTGTCTCAAAAAGACCCAAAAAAGGGGCTGGAGAGATGGCTCAGCAGTTAAGAACACTGGTTGTTCTTCCAGAAGACCCAGGTTTGAATCCCAGCACCCACATGGCAGCTAACAACTGTCCGTAATTCCAGTTACAGGGGATCCAACAGTCTCTTCTGTCCTCTGTGGACATTGCATGACATGGGTGCATTTACCTACATGTAGGCAGTACATGCATACACATAAAATAAAAATAATAAATAAAAATGTTTTAAAAAGGCCAAAAAAAAGTGGGATATCAAAGGACTATCTCCTTCATAGAGGATTAATGAGAAATAATCTTTCAGAGACTGCAAGAACATTTTCTTCAGTTTAGCACTGGATAAAATATTAGAAGAAAAGCTTTCCCTTGAGAATATAAACCTCACACTGGTTCTCCTTTAGTTTATAGTCTGAATTATCACTGTGGTCCTCAAGTGTCCAGCAGAAATTTTTGTTTTTTTGTTTATAACAAGATCTTTTTGTATAACTCATGCTGGTCTTGAACTTGGTATATAACCCACTCTGGCCTTGAATTTATGATCCTTCTGCCTCTATTTCCTGAATTCATGCAGAAATTTTTATTTAAAGTTGCTTTAAATTGGTAGAACTGTCAGGATCCTGGGAAGAGGAAGACAGATAGAACTTGGAAGCACTTGGTTTCATTCCACACTAACAATTTAAGAACGAGCAATTGTGAGATTGTAAGATGTTTCAACATCTCTAAAGTTGGAATATTTTGCCATAGAATCAGTGAAATACGTACTTCAAATGCAACCTGTTGACCTGTGGATATCATGCTGTTTAAACTTAAAGATCTTTTATAGCTGTTTTATATTCAAAACTACATATTTTAAAAGAATTTTTATTTTAAAATTATAGGGAAGAATTGGACATCGATCTAAAGGATATTTACTACAAAATCCGCTGTGTTTTGATGCCAATGCCATCACTTGGTTTTAATAGACAAGTGGTGAGAGACAATCCTGACTTTTGGGGTCCCCTGGCTGTTGTTCTTTTCTTTTCCATGATATCATTATATGGACAGTTTAGGGTAAGTACACCTTATTTTATACAAATTTTAGATGTTTTTAAGAGATCCAGGGCTGGAGAGATGGCTCATCTGGTTGTTCTTGCAGAAGACCCGTGTTTGAATCCCAGCACCCACATGGCAGCTAACAACTTTCCATAACTCCAGTTCCAGGGGATCCAACAGCCTCTTCTGTCCTCTGCGGGCATTGTATGACAAGAGTGTGCTTACCTATATACAGGCAATACACGCATACACATAATTTAAAAAAAAAAGATAAATAAAATTTTTTTAAAAAAGAGAAGAGATCCAAAAAATAGGTATAGTTAGATATTAACTATAAAATATATTTAACAAATGCTTTACCTTTCTCATTTTTTCTCACTTGTTCATTCCCAAAATTGTTTCATACTAAAATAAGTGGAGAGTACCTTAGATTAATACTTTCTCAGTTCTTCCACATTGTGGAAATACTAAATACCAGGCATAGCACCTTAAGGGATTTATTTTAGTTCACAGTTCAAGGCTACAGTCTGTTATGGTGGGGAACCTTGTTTTTCCCATTGCATTCAGCCTAGGACCCCAGCTCATTGAGTACCACCCTTGTCTAGGGTAGATCTTCCCACTTCAGTTCTAGAAACTCCCTCACAAATATGCCCAAAGTTTTGTCTCCTAGGTGATTCTAAATTGTCCTGTCAGACAGTATTCAGCATCACACAGACTTTCATTGGCATAGAATATACTGATATTTGTACAACCCTCTGAAATAAATGTATAAGACTTCTAGCAGACCAAAAATGACCAATGACCCAAATGGCCAGAAGAGGTGCTCCTGCCCTTTCTAGTTTCCCCAAGGGATGAAGAGCTTGAAAGGTGACTTGTAATATATAACCATATCCTACTTTTTGTTCATTTTTAATTCTGCTCCTCCCTATCATGGTACTGAGGTTTAGATTTAGAGTCTTATACATCCTAAGTAAGTATTCTATCACTGAGCTGTATTTCTAGCCCCCACCCCACTTTTTGGTCTTTTTTTTTTTTTTTTTTTTTTTGAGACAGGTCTAGCCCCAGCTGGCCTGGAAATCACTATGTAGACCAGGCTGGCTGGAATTCACAGAGATCCACCTGATTCTGCCTCCCAAGTGCTGGGATTGAAGGCGTGTGCCACCATGCCTGGGTCCCTTTTTTGTTTTTATTGGAGAAGCATTCTTGCTAATTTGTACAGGCTGCCATGTATGGTGACACAGGCCTTTAATTCCAGCACTGGGCAGGCTGAGGCAGAGGGATCTCTGTGAGTTCTAGGCCAGCTTGATTTACATAGTGAACTCCAGGCCAGCCAGTGCTGCATAGTTAGAGCTTCGCTCAAAAAAACACAAAACAAAGTAGAACTAATTTGCACAGGCTGGCCTTGAACCTACTCGGACCTGCTTGGACCTTGAATTTATCATCCTCTTGCCTCAGCCTTCTGAGTACTAGGGTTATAGGTGTGTGCCACTCGTGTGGCTTGTTATTTTTTTTCTTTTTTCTTATTATCTTCTGGAGATACTTTGTAATTATATGAATATCCTGTTTCTCATCAGACTTTAGCCTAATAATGTTAGGATCCACTTATCTTTTACATAACTGTTATACTGTAGTGTTTGCAGAATGGTGATTTTCCTATTTTCCTCATTTCTTCCATGTTTATTAGTGAATATTCTGTAAGAACAGCAGTCCCATTTCTGTTACTTGATTATCCAGTTCATTTACATCAATATTAAATCGTGAATATTAATCGTATTGGCTAAGTACAATCTAGTATGACCATTTATTTTGTTGCTCAAATTCTTCCAACTTTAGCCACTGGGAGCTTCTTCAGGTTGCCTTGATGTCCTTTCAACATACTTTGTGTATATCTGTGTGTTGTGGCAGTGCAATGCCATATTACAGTGATGTGTGAACAAAGAACAGCTGTACTCTTAGCATCCGTTAAAACTAGGAGTGGGGTTCAAGCTTAGCATCTATTTTTTTTAAATCATTATTTTTAAAATTTTTAATAACTACATGATTAGAAGAAGCATTTCACTACAGATTTAACATATTCAGTAACACACTCCAGAGCAAGAGTACATCTCTTTCACACATGGGTGCAAGTTTCTAAACACACAGTTAATACAGTTATACAATATTGAACTCAGTATAAGCCCTGTAAGACATAAAATTGAGTTTTTTAACCTTTAAACAAGATCTCCATTTCATTTTACAATAAATTGTTCCTTGCAGAAAGACTCATTGCTTTTGCTACTAACACTGAGATGTTGGCGCATGCATCTCTAATCTGTATGTATATATCTGATTATTACTAGTCATAGTTGGTTGCACTTGGATCCTTGGTGCCTGTGTATGTCTATAAACTCATCAGGTAGATTTCAGTGGTAATGTTTATCACCTCTACTAATTAGGGCATGACATAAATTTCCATGCTTCCTCCTCAAATATAATACATTTTTTAAAATTTGTTGATATTTGTGTGGGGGGGTGTGGGGGTGTGTGTGTATCACACAGAACATCCCAAACCATCTTATTCGACTATACACCCACTTCCCAGCTGGCACTCTCCCATACCCTCCTTCCCACACTAGAGCCCTTATACTCTGATATCCCTGCTACTGTCTGCTGTGTTGTTGGCACCCCCAGCCATTCCCCACTACTTGCCATTCTGGTGAATGTAGTCAGCCTATCTAGAGGTCTTTGTTTTAGGAGGGTCAGCTGGTCCTCATCTAGCAGTAATCAGTTGTCAATATTCCTTTGGATAAGATTGGGTTGGGGTCTGCTGTTCAATTTCCCAGTTCTATGCTGGGTTACTATCTAGGAATCCCTTTGGCCACCCTGGCCAACAACTCAAAAGAAGGTATCGTCTGTCTGGCATTGTTGCTTGTTATGTAGCCTTTAGCTATACATATGGACTCTTAAGAAATTATATTGACCCCTTTAATCTTTGGTTCAATTGGCCCTGATAAACGAATTTATTTTTACTTTTAAGGTCATTTGAGGATCTGTTCCTCAGGGGTCACATGGGCTTGGGAGGAGCCCCTGGCTCCTTTCTTTTACCAGTTCCGCCTATGTGAAGATAAGTCAAAGGTCCTGCTCGACCCTGGTTGGCTTCGCTTGGAAGCATGGAGGAAATGATTCCTCTGTGTTGACTCTCCTCTTTGTAGACAGGAAACTGATTCAAGTCCATCTGGTGGGGTGTCCTTGGCTTCCTTGATCAAGAGGACAGGTGCCCCACCAAAATTACAGCACATTTTGAGAGATGCTCATAGTCCCCTGGAACTAGTCGACCTAGGAGGGCAAGTAGCAAAAACTGTCCTTTATGTCCCTCTGACCAAATTATTATAGGCCTCAAAGTATATCTGTTAAACATCCAAGGTTAGTTCTACCAGTCTGGTACTTTTAATTACTGTGTGTCATGTAGATAAATCTTGGGCAAAGACCAGTTGTTCTCAAATAAACATAACCTAGACACATATTCTTGATCTGCTATGTATAATTTGTCAGTAGGTTGTAGGAGTAATATGGTTCCCTCTAGTTTTCAAAACTAGCTATGCATTATTTGTCTTTTGCATTGTCTTTCTTATGCAATGTTTCTAACTGTTCATTTTTCTAGTTATATTTCTGTTGCTGTAATGAAATAGCTTGACACAC